TGTGTGTGTGTGTGTGTGTGTGTGTGTGTGTGTGTGTGTGTGTGTGTGTGTGATGCCGGTCAGACCTGGCAGAACCAAACGTATTGTGAGGGTTTGCTGGGAACGTCTGGCAGAGTCTCCTGTGAGATGGAGTTTTAACTCCCACCTCCGGAAGAACTTCGAACATGTTCCGAGGGAGGTGGGGGACATTGAGTCCGAGTGGACCATGTTTCGTGCCTCTATTGTCAAGGCGGCTTAACGGAGCTGCGGCCGGCAGCGGCAAGGTTGTCCATGGAGAATGACTTACGCACGGCTTTGAGGCGATTCTGGTCCACCATCCGGCGTTTCGGGGGGGAAAGCTGTACGCCACCAACACTGTTTATAGTGGGAGTGGTGTGCTGCTGACCTCAACTCGGGATATTGTGGGTCGGTGGGCGGAATACTTTGAAGACCTCCTCAATCCCATCGGCACGTCTTCCACTGAGGAAGCGGAGCCTGGGGACTCTGGGTCGGGCCCTACAATCTCTGGTGCTGAGGTCACCGAGGTGGTTAAAAATCTCCTCGGTGGCAGGGCCCCAGGGGTGGATGAGATTCGCCCAGAGTTCCTTAAGGCTCTGGATATTGTAGGGTTGTGGTGGCTTACGCTACTCTGCAATATTGCGTGGACATCAGGGGAAGTTCCCCTGGATTGGCAGACCGGGGTGGTGGTCCCCCTATTCAAAAAGGGGGACCGTAGAGTGTGTTCCAACTACAGGGGAATCATGCTCTTAAGCCTCCCTGGTAAGGTCTACTCGGGGGTTCTGTAGAGGAGGGTCCGTCAGATAGTTGAACCTCGGATTCAGGAGGAGCAATGTGGTTTTCGTCCTGGCCGTGGAACACTGGACCAGCTCTACACTCTCAGCAGGGTCCTGGAGGGTGCGTGGGAGTTTGCCCAACCGGTCTACATGTGCTTTGTGGACTTGGAGAAGGCGTTCGACCGTGTCCCTCGGGGAACCCTGTGGGGGATACTGTGGGAGTATGGGGTACCTGGCCCTTTGATACGGGCTGTTAGGTCCCTGTATGACCGGTGTCAGAGCCTGGTCTGCATCGCCGGCAGTAAGTCGGGCTCGTTCCCGGTGAGAGTTGGACTCCGCCAAGGTTGCCCTTTGTCACCGATTCTGTTCATAACTTTTATGGACAGAATTTCTAGGCGCAGCCAAGGTGTTGAGGGGATCTGTTTTGGTGGCCTTAGGATTGCGTCTCTGCTTTTTGCAGATGATGTGGTCTTATTGGCTTCATCAGATCGTGATCTACAGCTTTCACTGGAGCGGTTCGCAGCCAAATGCGACACGGCTGGGATGGAGATCAGTTCCTCCAAATCCGAGGCCATGGTCTTGAGCCGGAAAAGGGTAGAGTGCCCTCTCCGGGTCAGGGAGGAGGTCCTACCCCAAGTGGAGGAGTTTAAGTATCTTGGGGTCTTGTTCACGAATGAGGGAAAAATGGAGCGCGAGATCGATAGGCGGATAGGTGTAGCGTCAGCAGTGAAGCAGGCGCTGTACAGGTCTGTCGTGGTGAAGCGAGAGCTGAGTCAAAAGGCGAAGCTCTCAATTTACCGATCGATCTATGTTCCTACCCTCATCTATGGTCACGAGCTTTGGGTTGTGACCGAAAGAAAGAGATCTCGGATACAAGCAGCTGGGGAGAGGGAAGTCTGGGCCTCCCTACTTAGGCTTCTACCCCCGTGACCCGACCCCTGATACGCAGAAGAAAATGGATGGATGGATATTTGTGTGTGTGTGTGTGTGTGTGTGTGTGTGTGCGTGCCTGCATGTGTGTGTGTTTAATTCAATTATTTTAATAATCTGTATTCTTTTTAATTTACCAGAAACTTCAGAATAAATTCTCACCCTGTACTGAAACCTGTTTCAGCATCTCACCGCCACCAGCTGGTGAGGCGTGTGAGGTTGATTTGAACCCCGTCCACTGAAACCGGTACTGAAAGCATAATGGAAACTCAACGTGTACCAACCCGAGCCGAACTGTGCTGTACCGGTACTAAAGGTACTGATGGAAAAGGGCCAATAGGTATCTGCCTGTGCCAATAAAGCAGAAACCCTGCTATCATGATTCCAATTATATAAAGATATTCAGCGTCTTCCTGAGACAAAATGGAAAGACACATCAGTTCCCAAACTGCCCACGGATCCTGCCGTGTGAGAGGGCTCTCCAGGACCCTGTTTCTTTGTTGAAAATATTTTGTGGATTACGTTGTAAGTCCAGCTGACCAGATCCGTGACAGTAGTTTTCATTTCAGAAGATGTGTACCAGGAGCTCCGATACACAGACAGTGAACAACAACAAAAAAAGCAGGAGGAGAACAGGAGAGGGAGAGAAGGCATCCGCCTTGCACGAGAGCGAGTGCAGAGCACAGCAATACAATGTTGTGGCTGACGGATGTGTTGTATTACTGTCTAATGTGTTGAATGAACTGTTTTTCAGAGGTTGCGGACAGAGAACAGGCTTCTCAAACAGAGGATAGACACGCTGGAAAAAGTGAGTTCATCACACCTTGCACTCCTCATGAAACAGAACACTTCTCATCACTTCTCCCTTCTCATGAGTTTTGTCCTAATCCATCCAGCTTTACATGTCCATACATCATGCATGTCTCCTGATGATGGAGGCTCTCCTTCCACTAACTGGGCTGTGTTAGATGTACACATGGTAAAACGTCAGTAAATCAAATATTTATTAATCAAAGCAAGGAAAGAGTAATTCCAGGTTGTGATGGGAACTGCGTTAAAACCCTGAAAGTCTTCAGGCATTACTAACTGAAGCAGGAACTGTAACAAGCATGTGAGGACCGTGAATGAAGGCGTCTGAAAGGGCTGCATGTCAGGTTGCTGTGTTTGTACGGTTCTTCGTTGTATCGTCTCTGAATGGGTGCCGCTCTGTTCATGAGCTCTGCTGTGGATAGTGACGATGGCTGCGTTGCAACGCTCAGACCCTAATGACTCTAAAAGCACGAGGCTGCTGCTCACTGACATGTCTGGCGCAGGGCTCAGGAGTTTGTTTTTTAACTCGTCACTAACTGAGCTCAAGGAAATTAACTGAAGTTGTATTCAGTTTTATTCAAGCTTCTGCACATCTCTTGGATTTTTAGCTGTTCTTTTTTAACATCTTCCAGCTTTAACCAGTTTTTTGTTGCGGTGTCCTGTCCGAGTTCTCTGCAGCGCTGCTCATTTCTTCACTTTGTCACCAGCTTATCACCAAACCAGCATGCAATGTTCTTTTTTTACCTCTGAATGTGAACATCATTGTACAGTATGGTTTCTGGGGGAAAAATGAACATTGTATTGCTTTGTTTAAACAATCGGTTGGTTGTTGTTTTTTCTTTTATGTGCTTTAAACTGTCCTTTGGACTCTCTCTCTCCTGTCTCTGTTCATATTTCTGTTTTGTAGGAAAGTGCTTCCTTGGCAGATAGATTGATTCAGGTATATTTTTTGTTTTCTCATTACCTTTATTAGTTGCAACTTCAATTTACTCTCTGACTCTTTCTTTTATTGCATTGCATGCTTATGATTAGAACAATTATGGACAGTAATGATGCAAAATCTAATGATTCTAATTAAAAAAACATGCCAGATTATAAAATTTGACAATGTTGTTGAATAAATACAAGGAATGTCACAATATGGACCAAAAAAGAACCTAATTGTGTCAGAGAACTAAATAATAACACAAATCCCAGTTGCTAATGTTAAAACAAGCATGTCATGTTAGAAAAGTCTTCCTACTTTGTGATTTGCCCGCCCATTCCGCCTGTTAGTTTCACATTCTGTCGTGCTTACTCCACTCCTCCTCGGTTGCTTATGTCCAAAGGGACAAGTAACCCGAGCTCAAGAGGCGGAGGAAAACTACCTGGTCAAGCGGGAGCTAGCCACAGTCAAACAGCAGTGCGAGGAGGCCAGTGCTCAGCTGGAGCAGGCCAGGAAAACCATCAGGCAGCTTCAGCAGCAGCAGCAGCCACAAGCGGTAAGGAGGGTAACAGACAACCTCACGAACAGGAAGTAGAGGACAGGTTTCATATCATTAAGACTGGGGTGCTGCCCAGGTCAGTCTGCACATTGCTTCATTTCACATTGTGTGCTACAGCTGCCAGTTGTTTCAGTACAAATGGGTTCACACTTGTTGTTTACTGCATATCTACTAAACTTTGAGAGAACAAGCACACAAAAGTAGGGCTGGTGTGTAAAATGTAAATATAAACAGACTGCAACAAATTGCAAATCTCATAAAGCTGTATTTTATTCACAATAAAACATATTAAACATATCAAACATTTAATGATGGCAGCAACACATTTCCAACAAGTTGGGCCAAGAGTAGCAATATAATGCAAAAGTATGTGATATGAGTACAAAACAGCATTGTGCAACTTACCATATTTTTCGGCATGTAAGTCGTGTTTTTTTGCATAATTTGCATGCCCTATGACTTATAGGCCCAAGTGACATATTTATGAATTTTTTCTTATATTTATAAAACAATTTTTGGCTGAGAAATGACCGTATTCATTCATTCTGACTGGAAAAAGTAATAAACAGTACCATTTTCAGCCACTAGACAGCAGCAGAGTAGTAGAAGTGTAGTAGTAGTAGTAGTGTGGCATGTCATTGTATCATGTAATAGGTAAACGTGGCTATAAAGACAATTTCAAAAAGGTTCAAGACAAAAACAACTGGACTTTATTTATTAGACTTTATGCTTTATTATTTTTGTCTTGAACTTTTTTGAATTGACCATGTCCTGGATGACAGAATCTTCACCAGCTATTAATGACACAATCAGCTCGCTACAGACCCCCGCCTGCTTGGAACAAGTCAAGCAAGCTGCACTGCCCCTGCGAAATGCAGATAATTTGACCATTAAAGTGCATATATTAAGTAAAAGTTCAACTGAGACACACCTTTGCTGTAATTTTGAGCAAACAAATAATTGTTTTAGGTGCTTTTCTTGTTAAATTTCGAAGAAACAAGCAGCTTTCCTCCTTGTTTTTTTCCTTCCTCTGCACGCTCCCAGAGCACTGAGGCAGCGAATACAGCTGATTTCACCGTTAGTCTTTTTTAAGCAAATGTTAGACTGAGACACACATTCACTAAAATTTCAAGCAAACAAACAATTATTTTTAAATATAAATCTTATTAAATTCTTGTTAAAGTCCTGTGCACGCTCCAACGGCAGGCATTTGGCAGCCCATCGATTTTTGGCACAACACGGGGTTCGGCTGACATTTCCGGGTTGTCAGCGGTGACACATAACAGATGCGACGTATACGGCGAAGCGACATATAGATATTTCCATGTATGTATATTTATATATCTATATATATGTATATGTATGTATTAGGAATGTGCGATATGTGATATAATTCATATCACGATATGTATTGTGATGGGTGGCGATAACGATATACTTTGTATATTGCGATATGTTTTTGGTTTAAAACTTGCTAAAAAAAAAGCATAGGGTGTCCTTTTGGCCAGAGAGTTTTTAAATAATAAACAAATCAAGTATTAGGCTTCTTTCTTGTAGTGCAAAACAGTGCAAAAGATATCAAATGTAGTTTTATCCATATGTTTTAAACAAAAAAACATGTTAACTCTTAACAGTTTCCAGTCATCTCACTTAATAAATGAACAGCAACAGAGCAGCAACTGAAACACTTCACCCTCCAACCCTCTAGTGGGTGACTCCTTCTGCTTTAATGGAGAGCTGACACAAAATGAGTCTGTGGCTTTGACCAGAGGGTCTTTCAGTAAAAATCACACAACAGTGTTCTTTTCACAGATCAGAGAGCAGGTTTCTCTAAAGCTGACCAACACTTACAGTACTTTAACTTTCGATGGAAAAAAAAACTTTTAACGTAACTCAGCGTTTTGCGCATGCGTCAGAATACGGCAACTCTATGGCAAGACAGCCGTAGTTAGCTTGTAGCTTCACTACTTAGCTCTCGGAGAAAAGACTTTAACACCACTTGCGCACAGTTTTCAACTCAAAAAAAGTAACGATTAAATCTGACAGCTCTTGATTTTACTTCAGACACAGCATTACTGCGGTTAGCCTGTAGAAGACAGATCTCTATCGTAGGCTAAATTTCTATCGTTTCTACCGTCCATCCATCCATCCATCCATCCATCCATCCATTTTCTTCCGCTTATCCAGGGTCGGGTCGCGGGGGTAGCAGCCTAAGTATGGAGGCCCAGACTTCCCTCTCCCCAGCAACTCTGGCTAGCTCTTCCGGGGGAATCCCGAGGCATTCCCAGGCCAGCCGAGAAACATATTCCCTCCAGCGTGTCCTGGGTCTTCCTCTGGGCCTCCTTCCGGTGGGACATGTCCGGAACACCTCACCAGGGAGGCGTCCAGAAGGCATCCTAAACAGATGCCCAAGCCACCTCAACTGGCTCCTCTCGACGTGGAGAAGCAGCGGCTCTACTCTGAGTCCCTCCCGGATGATCGAGCTTCTCACCCTGTCTCTAAGGGAGAGCCCAGACACCATGTGGAGAAAACTCATTTCGGCCGCTTGTATCCGAGATCTCATTCTTTCGGTCACAACCCAAAGCTCGTGGCCATAGATGAGGGTAGGAACGTAGATCTATCGGTATATTGAGAGCTTTGCCTTTTGACTCAGCTCTCTCTTCACCACGACAGACCTGTACAGCGCCCGCTTCACTGCAGACGCTGCACCTATCCGCCTATCGATCTCACGCTCCATTTTTCCCTCATTCGTGAACAAGACCCCAAGATACTTGAACTCCACCACTTGGGGTAGGACCTCCTCCCTGACCCGGAGGGGGCACTCTACCCTTTTCTGGCTCAAGACCATGGCCTCAGATTTGGAGGAACTGATCTTCATCCCGGCCGCGTCGCATTCGGCTGCGAACCGCTCCAGCGAAGCTGTAGATCATGATCTGATGAAGCCAATAAGACAACATCATCTGCAAAAAGCAGAGACACAATCCTAAGGCCACCAAAACGGATCCCCTCAACACATTGGCTGCGCCTAGAAATTCTGTCCATAAAAGGTATGAACAGAATCGGTGACAAAGGGCAACCTTGGCAGAGTCCAACTCTCACTGGGAACAAGCCCGACTTACTGCCGGCGATGCAGACCAGGCTCTGACACCGGTCATACAGGGACCTAACAGCCCATATCAAAGGGCCCGGTACCCCATACTCCCAGAGTACCCCCCACAGGGTCCCCCGAGGGACGCGGTCAAACGCCTTCTCCAAGTCCACAAAGCACATGTAGACTGGTTGGGCAAACTCCCACGCACCCTCCAGGACCTTGCTGAGAGTGTAGAGCTGGTCCAGTGTTCCACGGCCAGGACGAAAACCGCACTGCTCCTCCTGAATCCGAGGTTCGACTATCCGATGGACCCTCCTCTCCAGAACCCTAGACAGAGACAGAGGGACAGAGGAGACCAGTTTCTCAAGTTTAGAAATAGGAATGCTCTCCCATTCATGTCTAATACAGGCCTCTAACTGTTCAATCGTCTTGGGCCTTCTTTGTTGCACCTTCCTCTTTATGATGCGCCAAATGTTCTCTATAGGTGAAAGATCTGGACTGCAGGCTGGCCATTTCAGTACCCGGATCCTTCTCCTACGTAGCCATGATGTTGTGATTGCTGCAGAATGTGGTCTGGCATTATCGTGTTAAAAAATGCAGGGTCTTCCCTGAAAGAGATGACGTCTAGATGGGAGCATATGTTGTTCTAGAACCTGAACATAGTTCTCTGCATTAATGGTGCCTTTCCAGACATGCAAGCTGCCCATGCCACAAGCGCTCATGCAACCCAACCCCATACCATCAGTGATGCAGGCTTCTGAACGGAGCGTTGATAACAACTTGGGCTATCCTTGTCCTCTCTGGTCTGGATGACATGGCGTCCCAGTGTTCCATAAAGAACTTCAAATCATGACTCATCTGACCACAGAGCAGTCTTCCATTTTGCCACACTCCATTTTAAATGACCCCTGGCCCAGTGCAAACGTCTGAGCTTGTGGAGCTTGTTTAGAAATGGCTTCCTTTTTGCACTGTAGCGTTTCAGCTGGCAACGGCGGATGGCACGGTGGATTGTGTTCACTGACAATGCTTTCTGGAAGTATTCCTGAGCCCATTCTGTTATTTCCTTGACAGTGGCATTCCTGTTTGAGGTGCAGTGACGTTTAAGGGCCCGGAGATCACGAGCATCCAGTAGAGTTTTACAGCCTTGACCCTTACGCACAGCGATTGTTCCAGATTCTCTGAATCTTTTGATGATGTTATGCACGGTTGATGATGATAACTTAAAAGTCGTTGCTATTTTACGCTGGGTAACACCATTCTGGTATTGCTGCACTATTTTTATGCGCAACAATGTTGGAATTGGTGATCCTCTTACCATCTTGGATTCTGAGAGACACTGACACTCTGGGAAGCTCTTTTTATACCCAATCATGTTGTTAATTGACCTAATTAGTGTTAATTGGTCTTCCAGCTGTTTGTTATATGCGCAATTTCCTTTTTCCAGCCACTTATTGCTACTTGTCCCAACTTTTTTGGGATTTGTTGACACTGTGAAATTTGGAAACAACAGATTTTTCCTTTACTCAGATTAAACTTTTGATCTGTCATCTATGTTATATTATGAATAAAATATTGACATTTGCCATCTCCACATCATTGCAGACAGTTTTTATTCACAATTTGTTTAGTGTCCCAACTTTTTTGGAATTCGGTTTGAATAATTTAAAGAGTTCCAGTCAGACAAAATTTCATGAGGCCAAGGTCCAGAAGTCCAAATAGTCCAACTATTTAATGAGATTGACATATATATATATACAGTATACATATGTATATATACAGTATACATATGTATATATACAGTATACATATGTATATATACAGTATACATATATATATATACATACATATATATATACATACATATATA